TTGAGGGAGACGCCTGAAGTCAACAATGCATCACAATGTTCACTTACATTTAATCTTCACTGCTCTATTCATGTCCTTTGTTTTGTGTATTTATGTGTGTGTATTTGTGCCTCAGTGTGAGACAAGCCGACATCACAAGTTTATCCTGCTTATTCTGGTGAGTTATATTTCGTGCTTGATATGTTTTGATTTTGTTTTTATTAATTAACCAATAAACATACCCTATTGAATGACTTCTGATATAGATCCAGATACAAATTTTGATATTCCCGACAAAAATTGCTATTACTACGACCAGGATGAATTCAGTGATCATTTCATTACGAACACCGATATTAAATTATTACATTTCAATGCTCGTAGCTTACGAAAAAACGTATCAAGCATTAATCAGTATATTAACTTACTACGGAAGGATTTTGCAGTTATTGGAATATCGGAAACCTGGTTAAATGATATTCATGACCCTCTAATACAAATCCCAAACTATATCATTGAGGGAACCTGTAGACAAGACAAGAGGGGTGGTGGGGTTGCACTTTATATACAAGAGGATTTGGTATATAAAGTTCGCAACGACTTATCAATTAACAATTCCGATATTGAATCATGTTTTATTGAAGTTATAAATACAGGTAAAGCGAATGTTATTATTGGAACTGTCTATAAACCCCCCTGTGTTTTAACCAACAACTTTACAGAATGCTTTAGTACTGTTTTGTCACTTATATCTAGTGAAAATAAAAAATGTTATATAATGGGTGACTATAATATCAACTTACTTGAGTGTGACATTGACAATAGTGTGCAGACCTTTATGAATACTGTTCTATCTCAATCATTTTATCCAACTATTGACAAACCAACAAGGATCACTGCTGATAGTGCAACTCTAATTGATAACATTCTAACCAATGACCTTTCGAATCTTTCCTCTGGTGTTTTGATGACTGACGTCACAGACCATCTCCCCGTATTCTTAGTAACCAACAGTGTCAAAGAAAGTCCCCGAACCAGCAACAAATTCCAAAAACGTACTTTTAATGCCAGTAATGTTGAAAACTTCATTTATGATCTAAATATGATTGATTGGGATTCTGTAATATCAATAAACGATATACATCGTATGTATAATAATTTCCTATCAAATGTCCAACAACTTTATAATAAAAACTTTCCTTTACAAGATGTTAAATGCCGATACAATAAATGTAAATCCCCATGGTTATCTGATGGTATTTACATTTCTATCAGACGAAAAAATCATTTGTACCGAAAATTTACGAGGAACCCGACTGCGACTAATAAATCTGTTTATACTCTGTATAAAAACAAATTGAATTCTTTAATCAAATTAGCCAAAAAAGAATATTTATACACAAAATTTAGCGAAGTGCAAGGTAATATCAAGGGTACTTGGAAAGTTATTAATTCATTACTTAACAAGCGCAAGCAAAACGTAAACACATCTTACTTCTTTCAGGATGGTAACGAAATTAACAATGACAAGGAAATTGCAGAAGCATTTAACGACTACTTTGTTAACATCGGCAGTAGCCTCTCCAGTGAACTCCCGTTATGTAACACTTCCTTTGATTCATTTCTAAGCAACAAATGTCCAAATTCACTGTTTCTTACACCTATTACCAAGGAAGAGGTTGTTGACTATCTTAACAAAATACCTTCTGGGAAGGCCCCTGGATTTGATGGTTTAAGTTCTTCTGTCATCAAACAAGCACGGTATTCTTTAGCTAAGCCCTTGTCTGACATCTTTAACAAGTGTTTGACAGCTGGAGTCTTTCCCGATGATCTAAAAATAGCCCAAGTAACACCGATATATAAAAAAGGTTGTAAGCATAACATTACCAACTATAGACCCATATCAGTCCTATCTACATTTTCAAAACTATTTGAAAAGCTTATTTACAAACGATTAGTATCTTTTATCACTAAAAATAATATTCTTTCTGAGTCTCAATTTGGATTTAGACAAAATCGTTCAACTGAATTAGCGATATCATATGTAGTTAATAAATTATGTAATGCAATTGATCAAAATAATTTCTCCATAGGCATTTTCTTAGACTTATCAAAAGCATTTGATACTGTAAATCACGATATTCTTATAAGTAAATTAGATCATTATGGAGTGCGGGGAACAGCTTTGGACCTTCTGAAAAGCTATCTGTGTAACAGAAACCAGTATGTATCGTTTCAATCTGTAACTTCAACTAGCCGATTCATTACGTGCGGGGTACCTCAGGGTTCCGTATTGGGTCCTCTACTATTTCTTCTTTATATTAATGATATATGTAATACTTCAGACACTGTAACATTTTGTTTATTTGCAGATGATACAAGTTTGTTGTACACTCACGATAATGTAGATGAAGCAATTAGTAACCTAAATATGGAACTTGAAAAGATCAGTACATGGCTTCTCGCAAATAAATTATCTATTAATGTTGTCAAGTCAAATTATATGATTTTTTGTGCCAATCAGTACAAGTACACACAATCTGTTCCTCTGAATTTAAATAACTCAAGGCTTAATCAGGTTAAGATAACTAAATTCCTGGGTGTAACTATTGATGAAAATCTCACTTGGAAACATCATATTGATGAAGTAGCGACAAAAATATCAAAGAACGTTGGAATAATGAATCGTTTGAAATATTATCTTCCGAGTAAGATTTTATTAACATTGTATAATTCATTTGTTTTACCATATTTAAATTACTCAATCTTGACCTGGGGCAGTTTGCCATCTAAGTGTAACAAATTACTTACTTTACAGAAGCGAGCAGTTCGTTTAATTTCAAATGCTGGCTATCGTGATCATTCTGCTCCGTTATTTGCTAAATTAAATATATTACAATGTAATGACTTATATTACCTTAATTTAGGAAAATTAATGTTTAAATTTAAGCATAATCTACTCCCGTCCTGTTTGGATTCTTGTTTTACCTTAGCATCTAATGTTCATGTATATAACACCCGAAGTAGTGCTAAGGGAAATCTGTTTGTCCAATTTAATAGGACGTCAATGTCAAAAAACAGTGTGGTTCATCAAGGCACCTTGTACTGGAATAGTTTAGATGATTCTCTTAAACTGTTACCCTCACTATCTGTCTTTGTCAAAAAATTAAAAACTCATTATATCGAATCATATTCATAAATTGAAATGTTATATGTGCATTAATATTTAGGCCTTGTCTCACACACTTGTCCTGTCTGTCTACCGTTGTGTTTTGTTTGTCCCTTATTACAGTACTTTGGTTGTATGTCTGTCCATAGGTAAGGGCACAAAAGCGTCTGCTTAACCTTATACCTAACTGTTGTCATTTAATATTACACTTATTAGTTATCACTGTGTACATAACTGTCATATATATTACTATTGACCTTTCTTAATTTATACATGATTGTACATAATTGTACTGAATGACATCATTGAAATAAATGTTTCCAAACTTATAATATATATAAACTGTCGGTTGCAAAGGGTTATGACGTCAAAAGTCACGTGTCGTCGTCAGTCCTCCCACCCCGTCCACACTGACCACTTGGGGCTCGAACCTCCAACCCCGAGATTGATGATCTGAGAACGCCACTCTACCGACAAGACTACCGGCTCGCACTTATCAAGCCGGGAATTTATAATACATATGAACTGTCGGTTGCAAAGAATTGTGACGTCAAAAGTCACGTGTCGTCGTCAGTCCTCCCACCCCATCCACTCTGACGGAAAAAAAATTGTCGTTGGTGACAACCTCGGGCTCGAACCTCCAACCCCGAGATTGATGATCTTAGAACAGCACTCTACCGACAGGGCTACTAGCTCGCACCTATCAAGCCGGGAATTTATAATATATACGAACTTTCGGTTGCAAAGAATTGTAACGTCAAAAGTCACGTGTCGTCGTCAGTCCTTCCACCCCATCCACTCTGACCAAAAAAATATTGTCGTTGGTGACAACCTGGGGCTCGAACCTCCAACCCCGAGATTGATGATCTGAGAACATATATTTTCATTGGGTTAGCCAAAGCGAGAATTTACATTTGAATGGAATCAGCGGAGTGTGACATTAAGGTGTGGTTGAACAGGCGTGTTCAAGTCACTGACCGAATTCACCAGCAAGCAGTACGGACGTCAAATTTGTGTGTGTTCTTTTTCGTGCCTAAATCGATAGAGCAACCATGTCCTTAAATGAACAATCTTCTTCTGCACAAGAAGTACCTGTCTCCCTGAAACTTGTCGGAGATACCATCAAAGCAGCATTGGGAGATTTCAAGGGGTATTTGGATACCTCGCTCGCCTCATTCAAAAAAGACAGCGAGCGTAAGCAACAGACGACGTCGGAACAAGTACAACAGCTGAAGCGAGCTTCGGAGCTGAGTTTCCGGTTCAAAGGAAACAAAACCCAATATGATTTCAATGCAGGTATTGTAGAGAAATTAGGAAGGGCAGAAAATTGTCTCAAAGAAGACGACGGTGGGTCAGCAAAATCCCTGGTGACAGAGGTCATTGCAGATGTAAAAAAGCGAAACAAGCTGATAAGACTAGCCGATAAATCTGACGCAGGTTAGTGGATGAACAGAGTATAATAATATATTGTCATTCAAATGCTTTGTAATTAGCTCAGCCTTTTTCCTTTGTACTTTCCAAGCTTGGAATACCTGAACTGATGATGAGTTTAAACTTAGCTTATTATTCAGCAAATACAAGTAGTAGGAATTGTTTTTATAAAGCAATGCCTATAAAGGCATACTGCGAATTCTGTAAGATGTATTCAAGAGAGCCTAATGGGCTTTCGGTGACATTCTTTACGAAACAATTAGCATAAAACGTGAATTGCATTGACAGATTAGCCACTAAAGATTCACCGATACGTAAAGTACATTTCTTTAACCTATATCGCTATACCCTTCTTACAGGCTGGACAGCTGTAGATGAATACCTCAGTGACGAGCTCGCTAGTAACTCCGAGGATGACAAAAGAATTAGACAAGCTCAAGCAAGGGCGGTACGAAAAAAGCGCCTTCAGAAAAGCAGTCAGCTTGCGAACAAGCGTCAACGTCAAAATGCTACAGTGGAGCAGTTTTCTCCTTCTACTTCTGGCACTGGGCTTTTTCGAAGTTTTCAGCCAAACCGTAGATTCATGCCTGGGGCTACCTCTGCTTGGAGCGCAGGACCAAAGCCAACGGACTTGTGCTTTGCCTGCGGGAAACCAGGCCATTGGAGACGCAACTGTGGACAGCAAAGGCAGGCAGTGGTGGGAGGAAAAGAACCAGCAGGGGGTAGTACAACTCAGCCCCGACAGTGGTGAATCAGACGACTCACATAGTGTAGCAGAAAATGTAAATACAGAAACAGGGTATGATATCGACTTTTTTCTTGCAAACTATTATGAATATGAACAGGGCAATGATGAGCCATTGGTCAAAGGCAGATTGAAAGCGGCTGTAGAATTTTGGAGAGGAATAGACGCAAATCCAACAGTCATAGATATTATTTCTAATGGATATAAATTGCCTTTCATTAACACGCCTAATCCCAGAAATTTCAAAAACAACAAGTCGGCACTAGAAAATAGCAGTTTTGTTTCTGAAGCGATATCAGATCTTTTGAGTAAAGGATTGGTTGCCGAGTGTGACAAACTACCACATGTAGTTAATCCATTGACTGTAGCTACCCAAAGTTCGGGAAAGAAAAGATTAATTTTAGACCTTCGTTATGTGAATCAATTTCTTTGGAAGGATAAGATTACTTTTGAAGACTGGAAAGTAGCAGAGTCATATTTCCAGAAAGGTGATTTTTTATATTCTTTTGACCTTAAGTCAGGTTATCATCATATTGAGATTTTTCCTGAGCATTGCAAGTTCCTTAGTTTTGCTTGGACCACAGAAGGAGTCACCAAGTACTATTCTTTTTTAGTTTTGCCATTTGGTTTATCCACAGCCCCATATATTTTTACAAAGTGCTTAAGACCACTAGTAAAACACTGGCGTACTCAAGGATACTTTGTAGTTTTGTACCTCGATGATGGTTGGGGCAGAGCGGGCACCGAGGAAACTGCCAACTTGATTGCTTCAAGGGTAAAGTCTGACCTTTTGTCGGCGGGACTAGTGCCGAATGTTCAGAAGTCACAATGGGTAGCTACGCAAAGTTTGACTTGGTTAGGTTTGGTATGGGATTCAAGAGACTTTTCAATTAGAGCCTCTGACAGAAGAATTGAAGATATTGTTAGCTGTATCAATGGCATTCAGATCAAGCTTCCCTATACCTCAGCTCGGAAGCTGGCCTCAATTACCGGTAAAATTACATCTCTTGGTCCGGTAGTGGGGAAGGTCTCTCAATTGAAAACAAGGTTTCTGTACATGGAAATTATACGGAGAGTTCACTGGGACTATGAATATAAACTTGCTAGAGACTGCAGAGTCATTGAGGAATTAGTGTTCTGGAACTCAGAAGTTCAAACCTTGAACAAACGGTATTTATATGAATATTCTCTTCCCAAATGTTTTGTATATACAGATGCGAGCCAAGTGGGCTGTGGTGCATGGACAGTCGGATGTGGAGGGGAGTTGGTCCTGCAAAGGAATTGGTCGAGCGCTGAAGAAACCAAAAGTTCCACGTGGAGGGAATTACAGGCGGTTTCCCTCGCTTTGCAAGCATTTGCGAAGAGTTTAGAGGGTAAAGTAGTGAAGGTTTGTACTGATAACAAAGGCGTTGTCTCGGTAGTCAGCAAAGGCAGTATGGTAGAAAAGTTACTTGTACTCAGTCTGGATATATTCCAATTCTGTAGAAAGCATGGTATTCAACTGGAGGTACAGTGGATACCCAGAGAGCTCAATCAAAGAGCTGATGAGATGAGTAGGGAGATAGATTGGGATGATTGGGGTGTATCATACATATTCTTTCAATTCATTGATAAAATATGGGGACCTCATACAGTTGATCGTTTTGCAGATGAAACCAATGCAAAATTGCCTACATTCAATTCCAAATACTCATCCCCTGGCACAAGCCAAGTAGACGCCTTTTCGTGCAATTGGCAAGGAGAAAATAATTGGTTAGTCCCCCCTATAAACTTGGTGGCGGACGTCCTAAGACACTTGAAGTTGTGCAAAGCAGAGGGCACTTTGGTTATTCCCTGCTGGCATTCAGCCCCTTTTTGGCCGTTGCTCTTTTCCCATCAAAGTTCGTTTCGAAGTTTGGTCAAGCATACCATGCATTTTTCTGATTCGTCAGATATATTCGTCCAAGGTCGGAATCACAAGTCTTTGTTTGGATCACCTTTATTCAAGTCCGAAGTCCTTTGTGTCAGACTGAAGTTTTCATTATGATTAGGAATAAGCCGCATGGCAAGGAAGCCGCATGGCAAGGAAGCCGCATGGCAAGGAAGCCGCATGGCAAGGAAGCCGCATGGCAAGGAAGCCGCATGGCAAGGAAGCCGCATGGCAAGGAAGCCGCATGGCAAGGAAGCCGCATGGCAAGGAAGCCGCATGGCAAGGAAGCCGCATGGCAAGGAAGCCGCATGGCAAGGAAGCCGCATGGCAAGGAAGCCGCATGGCAAGGAAGCCGCATGGCAAGGAAGCCGCATGGCAAGGAAGCCGCATGGCAAGGAAGCCGCATGGCAAGGAAGCCGCATGGCAAGGAAGCCGCATGGCAAGGAAGCCGCATGGCAAGGAAGCCGCATGGCAAGGAAGCCGCATGGCAAGGAAGCCGCATGGCAAGGAAGCCGCATGGCAAGGAAGCCGCATGGCAAGGAAGCCGCATGGCAAGGAAGCCGCATGGCAAGGAAGCCGCATGGCAAGGAAGCCGCATGGCAAGGAAGCCGCATGGCAAGGAAGCCGCATGGCAAGGAAGCCGCATGGCAAGGAAGCCGCATGGCAAGGAAGCCGCATGGCAAGGAAGCCGCATGGCAAGGAAGCCGCATGGCAAGGAAGCCGCATGGCAAGGAAGCCGCATGGCAAGGAAGCCGCATGGCAAGGAAGCCGCATGGCAAGGTAGCCGCATGGCAAGGTAGCCGCAAGGCAAGGTAGCCGCATGGCAAGAAAAGAATTGCCGAATGGCACGTATATAAAAGAATAAATATTAAATATAAATTACTTTATTAATTACCTATTTCTCTGCAGAAAATATAAAGACGATGAGTACTCTTCAACGTTGGCCATGATTCTTGACGCATCAAGAGCCCCCAGCACCACTAAAAAATACAACGCTGCTTTTGCCGCATGGCAACAATGGTGTAAGGTGGAGAAGATCAATCCGTTACCAGCCAATGCCAATGACGTGTGTCGTTATTTTATACATCTCTTCAATATTGGTGCTCCATTCTCGAGAATCGAATCAGTTTTCTATGGCCTAAAATGGCGTCATGATTGTTTTGCGGACTGTAAAGAAAACCCATGTGACAGTAAATTTTTACATAATGTATTGCAGGGATTAAAAAGAAGATTAGCTAAACCTGTTGAGAAGAAAGAACCCATTACACCAGAAATATTAAAGGCTGTCATAGACAAGTACGCAGTTCTGAACAGTCTGTTAGATATTCGATTATGTACTATGTTGCTTATTTCATATGCAGGTTTCTTGCGTCACAGTGAACTTATCAACATCAGAAGATGTGATCTCCAATTACATTCCTCATATGTTAATATCTTCATAGTTAAAAGTAAAACTGACATTTTTAGACAAGGAGCCTGGGTGATCATTTCAGCAACAAATACATCTACGTGTCCAGTCAGAATGTTAAACAGATACCTAATCCTTGCAGATCTTGTAGATGAAGATTCAGATGAAAGTTTCCTTTTTCGACCAGCTAATTATATTCGAACAGAGAACAAGTACAAACTAAGATCAGGGCAATTATCATATTCAAGATGCCTTGATATATTTAAAAGCGCCTTGTCTTCGGTAGGAGTCAACCCCAAGCGTTTTGGACTGCATAGTCTTAGAGCTGGGGGAGCAACGGCTGCGGCTCGTATTGGTGTGCCGGACAGGCTTTTTAAGAAACACGGACGTTGGCGTTCGGAGACGGCAAAGGATGGCTACGTCCACGAGTCGTTGGAAGACAGACTTTCTGTATCCAAAATGCTGGGTTTATAGATAGTTTATCAGCTGTATGTTGGTTCAGTAAGTTGTAATATGGGCATTTCAATCCCTGGATGTGTTAAAAAGTGGAAATAAAACTTGATGTTTCCTGATTATGATTGTATTAAAAAACCCTTATTTCCCGCTCTTTAATTCCTGAGTATGATAATGTGGAATAAATAATATGGGCAATGCTTGCCATCGAAGTTCGGTGTTTCCCAAATGGATTGCATTATTTGTTGTTGTTAACCTATTTTCTTGCAGGTTGGGTAATACAGGGTGGGAAAATACGAGGGTAGGCGGCATTGAAAATAATTTATTCGCGATTGAGGGGCTAATTAGAGAATAAATATATTTTCATTGGGTTAGCCAAAGCGAGAATTTACATTTGAATGGAATCAGCGGAGTGTGACATTAAGGTGTGGTTGAACAGGCGTGTTCAAGTCACTGACCGAATTCACCAGCAAGCAGTACGGACGTCAAATTTTCATGAAAATGTGTTAATGATTGATATTGAAATTGAATGCCTCTAATCAAGCCACTTGTTATCCAGCTTCATTATATTGACAGATACAGTAGAAGTAGAATGCCGTTAGCAGACGATTCCCTATCTTGGCAGTCAACTTTCATCCTACAAGCACAGAGACGGAAACTCAAGACCTTGAGTTCGGATACTTCTGTCTCGACGCAGCTTAAACTGTCCCCAAGATAGCGACGCATCCTGAGCCGTGTCCGCGCAATGCTTGCCATCGAAGTTCGGTGTTTCCCAAATGGATTGCATTATTTGTTGTTGTTAACCTATTTTCTTGCAGGTTGGGTAATACAGGGTGGGAAAATACGAGGGTAGGCGGCATTGAAAATAATTTATTCGCGATTGAGGGGCGAATTAGAGAATAAGGCACTCTACCGACAGGGCTACCGTCTCGCACTTATCAAGCCGGAAATTTATAATATATATAAACTGTCGGTTGCAAAGGGTTATGACGTCAAAAGTCACGTGTCGTCGTCAGTCCTCCCACCCCGTCCACTCTGACCACTTGGGGCTCGAACCTCCAACCCCGAGATTGATGATCTGAGAACGCCACTCTACCGACAAGACTACCGGCTCGCACTTATCAAGCCGGGAATTTATAATACATATGAACTGTCGGTTGCAAAGAATTGTGACGTCAAAAGTCACGTGTCGTCGTCAGTCCTCCCACCCCATCCACTCTGACCACTTGGGGCTCGAACCTCCAACCCCGAGATTGATGATCTGAGAACGCCACTCTACCGACAAGACTACCGGCTCGCACTTATCAAGCCGGGAATTTATAATACATATGAACTGTCGGTTGCAAAGAATTGTGACGTCAAAAGTCACGTGTCGTCGTCAGTCCTCCCACCCCATCCACTCTGACGGAAAAAAAATTGTCGTTGGTGACAACCTCGGGCTCGAACCTCCAACCCCGAGATTGATGATCTTAGAACAGCACTCTACCGACAGGGCTACTAGCTCGCACCTATCAAGCCGGGAATTTATAATATATACGAACTGTCGGTTGCAAAGAATTGTAACGTCAAAAGTCACGTGTCGTCGTCAGTCCTTCCACCCCATCCACTCTGACCAAAAAAATATTGTCGTTGATGACAACCTGGGGCTCGAACCTCCAACCCCGAGATTGATGATCTGAGAACGGCACTCTACCGACAGGGCTACCGTCTCGCACTTATCAAGCCGGAAATTTATAATATATATAAACTGTCGGTTGCAAAGGGTTATGACGTCAAAAGTCACGTGTCGTCGTCAGTCCTCCCACCCCGTCCACTCTGACCACTTGGGGCTCGAACCTCCAACCCCGAGATTGATGATCTGAGAACGCCACTCTACCGACAAGACTACCGGCTCGCACTTATCAAGCCGGGAATTTATAATACATATGAACTGTCGGTTGCAAAGAATTGTGACGTCAAAAGTCACGTGTCGTCGTCAGTCCTCCCACCCCATCCACTCTGACGAAAAAAAAATTGTCGTAGGTGACAACCTGGGGCTCGAACCTCCAACCCCGAGATTGATGATCTGAGAACGCCACTCTACCGACAAGACTACCGGCTCGCACTTATCAAGCCGGGAATTAATAATATATATGAACTGTCGGTTGCAAAGGGTTGTGACTTCAAAAGTCACGTGTCGTCGTCAGTCCTCCCAACCCATCCACTCTGACGAAAAAGATAAAATAATTGTTGTTGTTGACAACCTGGGGCTCGAACCTCCAACCCCGAGATTGATGATCTTAGAACGGCACTCTACCGACAGGGCTATACTAGCTTGCACTTATCAAGCCGGGAATTTAAAATACATATGAACTGTCGGTTGAAAAGAATTGTGACGTCAAAAGTCACTTGTCGTCGTCAGTCCTCCCACCCCATCCACTCTGACGAAAAAAAAATTGTCGTTGGTGATAACCTGGGGCTCGAACCTCCAACCCCGAGATTGATGATCTGAGAACGGAACTCTACCGACAGGGCTACCGTCTTGCACATGTCAAGCCGGGAATTTATAATATATATGAACTGTCGGTTGCAAAGGGTTATGACGTCAAAAGTCACGTGTCGTCGTCAGTCCTTCCACCCCATCCACTCTGACGGGAAAAAAAAATTTGTTGTTGACAACTTGGGGCTCGAACCTCCAACCCCGAGATTGATGATCTGAGAACGGCACTCTACCGACAGGGCTACCGTCTCGCACTTATCAAGCCGGGAATTTATAATATATATAAACTGTCGGTTGCAAAGGGTTGTGACGTCAATAGTTACGTGTCGTCGTCAGTCCTCCCACCCCATCCACTCTGACGAAAAAATAAAATAATTGTGGTTGTTGACAATCTGGGGCTCGAACCTCCAACCCCGAGATTGATGATCTGAGAACGGAACTCTACCGACAGGGCTACCGTCTCGCACTTATCAAGCCGGGAATTTATAATATATATGAACTGTCGGTTGCAAAGGGTTGTGACGTCTAAAGTCACGTGTCGTCGTCAGTTCTCCCACCCCATCCACTCTGACGAAAAAAAAAAATTGTCGTTGGTGACAACCTGGGACTCGAACCTCCAACCCCGAGATTGATGATCTGAGAACACCACTCTACCGACAGGACTACCGGCTCGCACTTATCAAGCCTGGAATTTATAATATATATAAACTGTCGTTTGCAAAGGGTTATGACGTCAAAAGTCACGTGTCGTCGTCAGTCCTCCCAACCCATCCACTCTGACGGAAAAAAAAATAATTGTCGTTGTTGACAACCTGGGGCTCGAACCTCCAACCCCGAGATTGTTGATCTTAGAACGGCACTCTACCGACAGGGCTACTAGCTCGCACTTATCAAGCCGGGAATTTATAATACTGTAACGGGACCTTATTGGGTTCTTGTCCTCCGAGTCCGGCCAAACGCAAGAAAAGGGGACAAACACACAGGATTTCCAACTTCTGAAGAAACTCTCATTTATTCAGCACAACAACTCTGTGGTCAACCTGCCACACTGCTACCAGTACCACGACTGCTGATTTCCAGCATAGAAATACACACAGTCTGAACAAATGTATACAATTGTAACAACTTGCAATGACCCCGGCATCTTGCCAAACCTTTCCCGCGTCCCCCAACAAAAGAAACCCACTATAAGCAACCTTTTTCCGGAGCCTATTTCCGGAGCGCGCGCCAGCCAGACCCAAAACCAGGTCAGGCTTGCGCCGCCGGAGCCCCTCCGCCGGAGCACCAGCGCTAGAAAGCAATGACAACAAAAACGTGCATAGACTGTCCGTTACAATACATACGAACTGTCGGTTGCAAACATTTGTAACGTCAAAAGTCACGTGTCGTCGTCAGTCCTCCCACCCCATCCACTCTGACCCAAAAAAAATTGTCGTTGGTGACAACCTGGGGCTCGAACCTCCAACCCCGAGATTGATGATCTGAGAACGGCACTCTACCGACTAGGCTACCGTCTCGCACTTATCAAGCCGTAAATTTATAATATATATGAACTGTCGGTTGCAAAGGGTTATGACGTCAAAAGTCACGTGTCGTCGTCAGTCCTCCCACCCCATTCACTCTGACGAAAAAAATAAAAATTGTCGTTGGTGACAACCTGGGGCTCGAACCTCCAACCCCGAGATTGATGATCTTAGAACGGCACTCTACCGACATGGCTACCGGCTCGCACTTATCAAGCCGGGAATTAATAATACACATGAACTGTCGGTTGCAAAGAATTGTGACGTCAAAAGTCACGCGTCGTCGTCAGTCCTCCCACCCCATCCACTCTGACGGAAAAAAATTGTTGTTGTTGACAACCTGGGGTTCGAACCTCCAACCCCGATATTGATGATCTGAGAACGGCACTCTACCGACAGGGCTACCGTCTCGCACTTATCAAGCCGGGAATTTATAATATATATAAACTGTCGGTTGCAAAGGGTTGTGACGTCAATAGTTACGTGTCGTCGTCAGTCCTCCCACCCCATCCACTCTGACGAAAAAAAAATGTCGTTGGTGACAACCTGGGGTTCGAACCTCCAACCCCGAGATTGATGATTTGAGAACGGCACTCTACCGACAGGGCTACCGTCTCGCACTTATCAAGCCGGAAATTTATAATATATATAAACTGTCGGTTGCAAAGAATTGTAACGTCAAAAGCCACACGTGTCGTCGTCAGTCCTTCCACCCGATCCACTCTGACCAAAAAAAAATGTCGTTGGTGACAACCTGGGGCTCGAACGTCCAACCCCGAGATTGATGATCTGAGAACGGCACTCTACCGACAGGGCTACCGTCTCGCACTTATCAAGCCGGAAATTTATAATATATATAAACTGTCGGTTGCAAGGGGTTGTGACGTCAAAAGTCACGTGTCGTCGTCAGTCCTCCCACCCCATCCACTCTGACAAAAGAAAATAATTGTCGTTGGTGTCGTTGATGACAACCCGGGGTTCGAACCTCCAACCCCGAGATTACAACGGCACTCAAACGACTGGGCTACTGGCTCGCACTTATCAAGCCATGCACTTATAATATATATAAATCGCCGGTTGCAAAGGGTTGTGACGTCAAAAGTCACGTGTCCAGTTCTGGAGATAATTGACGTACAGACCGACAGACAGACACACACAGAGAATCCTGGAATTATAGTAAGGATTCATCTTCATCATTTTGTATGTGCAATTATGTGTGCGTGTACTGACCCGGTATGCCTTATCACCGTCCACCTATTTTTATTTTTATAAAGACTACTATGTAAACTAATTCATTGCAAGTGGAAGCAACATCAGCCCTTGTAAACAGTGAAGAAAATGCACTTTAAAATTAATTAAACCACATTAGGATGTATAACATATACTGACATTAAGAGAAATGGTATTTGCCCGAAAGATTTTGTGACCAAAATCCCAACTTGCTGAACATGTACTACTTGCGAATAACCTGCCTGCCACTGTTGTTTGCATATAGCGCCCTCATCGTTCACAGTGTTTAGAGTCGCGTAAGGATATGTATCGTACATCACTGATAAAAGGTAAGATGCCTATATTTCAAGAAAATATCCTAAAATTAAGTATTTTAACAAAAACTGTTTAAAAAAAATATTAAAATGATCAGCACTGCTAAAGGAGAAACGAAGGCATGAACTTGAAAGCTTAAAGGGTACAATGTAGTGCGGTGCGTCATTGGCGGATGAAGCTTGACCCTTTTCTGTGCGTAAAACGTCTTAAAAAACATACAGGACATGCACTAAGTAACGTACATAGTATGTGTGCACGCTCGTGGGTTTCCTGCGTTCTGTCAACTGTAGACATGGTACTGAAGTCATCTAGATATTCGAACATTTCTTCAAGACCATGGCGTCGATTGGCATGCTGAACTTGATGTTGATATTTATAATTCTCTGCCCGTGCCTTATATTAGGTAAGATTTGGGTGAATTTCGGTATTATTTTTCGATGCATTATTTATTGCCACACTGTCACTGCCACTCTCATTACATGATTGGTAATCCTTACTTTTAGGACACCTCTATTTTTTACGAGTTCTGTTCAAAACTTAGCCCGACTGCGTCTGGCCGTACAGTACTAATCGCAAGCTCTGTAGAACGGCCAGACGCCCGATGCTTCCACAGAGACTGAATTTTGTTGGCCGCCGATGTAGCGATTTTGCTACATCTTTCGATCGCGATTATCTTTTCATCCAGGACACCAATTTCCAAAGTTAAGGTTCGTAGTCGTAGAGCAACTCATACCTTTTCGAAAAAAACGTTGTTTGGTCTCAATATTTTCATCCATCTGGCCACAAGACGAATATCAGTCATCAGATTCCACAAATATCGTCCCCCATGCGATCCCCCATGCGATTTCAAAATGGCGGCCGCGCTGTAATGTATGCAATATGCAGGCGCGCCCGCGCAAACTCATGAATATGCATAAACAGTCTGTGACGTATGACCTCGTGTAATTGGACGTGCGTGCGGCGGGGCCGTACTTCCAAAAATGAAACAACGTTTTTTCGAAAAGGTATGAGTTGCTCTACGACTACGAACCTTAACTTTGGAAATTTGTGTCCTGGATGAAAAGATAATCGCAATCGAAAGATGTAGCAAAATCGCTACATCGGCGGCCAACAAAATTCAGTCTCTGTGGAAGCATCGGGCGTCTGGCTATTCAAAACTGACTTTTGCAGATGTCTGTCCAGTACCAAAGTGACTTTTGCAGGCTAAAGCAGTCTTTAGAAGTCAAGAAGGTGTCATTGCCAATTGTTCAGATGTGCCAAGAAGTATCAGAATGTCAATTTTGAGTGTCATTTAGTCAACTGTTTTGGTGAGTCTTTCCCTTCCTATATAGGAACGGGGTCCTAAAAGTAAGGATTACCACATGATTTAGCTAGGGCCTACACGTTATGTTATTGACACGATCAATATTGAATTTGCGACTGACGTCCTGGGTATAAATTCTACCACCATAGCGAAAAAAAGTATAACCCATTTTTCGCATATTTTTACCTGACGGAGGAAGCTGAAATTTCGCTTTACCTATTCCTTGTGTCCGGAATTGTGCCTGCGCTGGGTTTAGAAAAGGCAAATATTGTTGATGTACCCTAACTTGGCGTGGCCCCCAACGTGGGGCACTTTGATTTTTCACCAGTAGCGCTAGACTCGTGAACGTGGCGTTGTATACTGCCACGCTGTTGACTTGTGTCATTTCGAACCTGCCTGGCGAAATCGATCTGCCATACATAATTTCGTATGCATGTTGAGTACGCACCTAGAAATCTAAATTTGCCTTCCCACGTGTTCAGGATGTGTCATTTCGACGAAATTTGCCGTCAATGAAGACCCACCATGCCCACACGAACGTGTTGAAATTAGATTTTAACGTTAACTGGACAAGTACCCAGGGTCACTTGTGTGCCAAATTATTGGAGCCCTCCGAGCTACCCGTCTGTTTCATGTGGCGCATATGATAGACGGCGTCAGATTGGCCAATCACGAGACCACATGATAAACGCAGCTAATAATATTTGAATCACACTTATGATCCGGACATAGCTCTACACTTTCGTTGAAAACATTTTCAGTATGAATTCTCTGTGTGAAGACGTACACGCGCATGCCGTTTGCTGCCATGGCGGCAGCGTGCTAGGTGTGTATGCACGCATGCGCAAAATCTTCAAACGGGGAGTTCGTACTGAAAATGATTTCAACGAAAGCATGGAATTGCGGTTAATAATCGGTTGCGTGTACACAACAGAATCCAACCTGGGCTAGGTGAGCTATTGACTGCCAGCACGTAAAATTCAGATAAATTTTCTGGGCGCCCTGGCAGCTAGCAGCACGGAACATCTCGATGTGGATTTCATTGGCTCGCAATATATAGCAGCGCACAAACGAACGTACGTACGTACACATACGTACATTGTACGGCTAGCTGGCCGGCGGTGTACACGCACAAGGGCGCACTATACATAAAGGATTCACTGAAGGCAGTCAACAGCCACCGGTCCTGCAGCGCGCCGTGTGATTGACAGGTGAACGATCCATGTATCCCCATCATGTAAAGCACGTTATGTGTGAGGTCATTAACCCTTATCGAACTCAACCCATCAAAGTTCAACAGTAGGTTTTGTTTAAATCTGTTGGGATAGGTACAGTACCCCTAAAACTGATGGTATTTTACACTGGGGTTGGCATACCTCCAGAAACCAAGTCCAACAGTGTGTGTGTACAATTTGCCATGTGGGTTTTGGAATTTGCCAGAATGGGTATGGTTCCATGTAAATTAGGCTGGGGAGTTACGGTTAAAGCTCGCAATTGAGTTACACACAAAAAGATGCCAAGAAGCCTCCAAAAATCAGCAGGAAATTACGCAGAAGCTGGACAACTGACACAGGCAGCAGGTTCTGAATTTGCTATTAAAGGGAATATACATCATTTGCTTTTGCTGTAATTTTCAGAAATGGATGGAATTGGGGGGTTGGAAATATAAAGCAAATATAGTTACACTGACTTTTTGGAGGTTTTGGGTTCGAAAATGCTATAAAAACCAAGAAAAACAATCATTTTCCTGTAGTCTGGTTCCCTGACTCCAGATAAGAGGAAACAGAGCAGTTTACAAACATTGGGGAATTGTAAGGTCAGGGAACCGGTCTAGCTGGCTTGTACCCGTTCATAGGTTTGTAATCGATTGCAAATAATTGCAATGGTCAATTGGGGCCAGTATTTGAAAAAAAAAGCCAGTCGTTTCCAACGCTGATCGGCCGATCAGCGTTGGAAATTGATACAAAAATACCACTTTTCTTGAAAATGACAGTATACCAGGTGCCATAATTTTACAGGATGCTTTAGACTGTCATTTACCAACAATTATTAAGGTATTTCGCAAAAACTTGGTAGTTTTATTTTTCGATGTTTGCAAATGTTGTATATTCCCTTTAAGAGGGTGAGTGTATTTTGAAAGCATAAATCAACTGGGTCTGCAGTATGAATGTGGAAATAACTTTGGAAACAAGTCCTCACGGTTTAAGTGAATGTAGGGAGTGTGGCCTTCGTTTACGGAGGTAGTCCAGTAAATAGGCGACTTTGCAACTTTTCATGATCGGTTTGTGTGTTCGATTTACCCCTAGAACTATGGGGTTTCGCCACTTCCAGAACTGTAAGGTTTTTACAGCAGAGCAAATCATTTTGATCCGGTGTCAATGTGACACCTGCCACTGGTCAAAATTTTGTCTGCAATCTTCGTGAATAAAAAGGTTACAACTAACAACTGTATAATGTATCTTGTTTTTTATTTAGATTATTGTTATTAATTATCCGCGGTCCACCTTGAAGGGGCTGGTCTCGGTCTCGGTTTCGAAACTTTTGGTCTCGGTCTCGGACTATCCGGTCTCAACTACAACACTGCCTGAGATACTAGTAGAGATCGATGATTAAGATTGAGGAACCAAAGTTTACCTTCGATCGGGATGGAAATTAAAACCCGTATATCGGCAAGGGCTCTGTCACGAAAACTGTGCCATTTTGAAAATGGGGAAATCGCTATGTGAAATCTATATACGCGCAACTTTTAGTATGTACATGCCGTGAAATAGTGCATAGAGGTTAGCACAATTTTCTGATAGTAGTCACACCTTTTCTGCTATCTGTGTAGCAGTGTCATAATGTTGGGCTCTGGTGTCTGGGGTAAAAACAGCATCAATTCGTCGCGCCGTGAGTTACGAAAACACAATTGTTTTCGAAGTTAAAATGTTACATTCTTATCCTGCCAGTATGCAGTATCACATTTCAGATTAGTATTAGCAAATTGGAAAGGAAAGGATTATTTTTGAGAAGGCCTGGACGTTATAATTACAATGATCGTGAAAACACGTAATGCACGCTGGAAATAACAACACCAAGTACACGATGTAAATCCATTAATACAAACGAATACAAATACGTGTAGCATTAAGACTTAAAATCCCTGGCGTTTTTATCACTTCTTATTTTCAAACTGCCCATGTTTGATAAGCCCTCTCTTGGATTTTTGAGGAGCGCTATTTTTTGCGCTCCTTCGAGACAGTCAAGGAGTGCCTGCGCAGTCGCACTCCTTTAAAATGAAGGACTGTAGACTGTTTCCCCTACCTTACAATTCCCCGACGTCTATAAATTGCTTCATTTCATCTTAAGTGGGGTCAGGGAACCAGACTACAGGAACATTATTATGTTTCTTGGTTTTTCCAGCATCTACGCGTACTTCAAACAATTCAGTGTAACAATATTTGCTATAAAATACTAATCCACCAAATCCATCTATTTCGGAAAATTACAGCAAAAGCAAATGTTGTATATTCACTTTAAAGGAGATTTTTGATTGAAAGCACCCATTTGTGCTAAAAAAAAACACCGCATAACCATGGAAAGATAATAGAACTATTTCCCAGGTTTGCTTGCAGCATTGCTGGCTACATGACATACACGTTCATGGCATCTGACTCGCACCCCTTGATGAAAGACATTGACAAAATGGGGAACCCCTACAAAAAGCTGAAAAACTCTATTGGTAGAGTGCCAGAATGGCAATCCGGATGTCGCAGGTTCAAACCCTGCTCCAGACAGTTTCTTTATTCAACTTTAAAATTGGTTGAAAAGATTAACTAGCAAACACGACCGTCCACACAACTGTATAGTATCTAAGAAATTTGCTGTTTTCATGTAATTTCCTCACAAAAGGATACAAACTGGATACGAACTTTTGATCCTGAAAATCAAGTCGTTGGAGCGCTAGTTGACTTTCCAGTAACGTTCCAGTATAGTTATTTTCAAAAGTTGCTTCAAACGTCTGTGTGCGCTAGAATCGCCATGTTTGTAAGTTTGAAACTAGTGTTGGAGTCACATAGGACATCGTCACTCACTTGATATTGCATTTTGTGCAGCCAAGT